AAGGTTCCATCCCTCTTTCTCTCTTTGGATGCCGAAAAGGCATTTGATAGGATAAATTGGGATTTTATGAGAGCAGTTTTAATGCATGGAAAAAATGGATTGTACATAAATATTGTATTGTCTGATTTCTCTTGCTCTTTACTGCATAACTGGTTTAACCCACGCTTCCCCTCTTTTCTTTTCCCCCTTTCTTTCCAACCTTCCGCCCTTCTTACCTTACCTTCCCGCTTGCACTCTTTCTCACTAACAAAAATATATACTATGATATTTTCATGACACAACTGATTGTACCTTGACTGTTGACTTGCATACTTAATGTTTCTACATTCATAAGTTATCTAGGCTAAACACATTTTGTATGTAATTTGCTGTGTCTGCAAACTTTGACTTTAATAAAGAAATATTGAAAGTAAAAAAAAAGAAAAAAAAGAAAACTAAAAGACAATGCAGGCACAAACAATATACTAAAGGTTGTTAGATACATCTATAGTAGAAATATCTCAGTTTCAGCATTTGTTTCCTCCCATTATGAGCTATTATCCTTATAGGAATTCCAGAAAGCTTTATGGATTATTTAACTACAGTAAGGCTGTGATGTTGGCAGTGAGGTACAGTATCAGCTGGTAAAAATCTATAATCAGACACCAAAGTGACAACCTAAACATCAGTGGTACCCTATGGGAACAATTGTATCTGGTTAGACTACATGGTCCCACTGTTTTTTTACAAGGGTCTATAGGAGGTGGGAACAATCTCTGCATTATATGAAAACATTCTAAGCAGATAGAAAATATATGTACAAATGAAAAATGATTGTAATGCAGGTAACTTACTAGCAACATTACTAGTTTAACTGTACTAGTTAAAATTGAAAGTCTCTGAAACACATCGCTATTTGTTAGGAGTTACTATATGTTAGGTTACATGTGACTTTGAAATTTAATGAATATCAAAGTCTTTCTCAAAATATAAACTTTTTTATAGCTGACTTTTTCTCAAGGTCATGAATATTTTAAGTTTGTTGTGATCCTGCAAGATGTATGATAAACTTGTTTGCATGTTAATTCAGAGGAAATTATAATAGATTCTACTTCATTTTACAATGTGTGCATTAATCTAGATGTCAGAATGGTATAATGAGCTTTCAACGTTAAAGGCTACTTTGATGAATAAACATAGAACATAGTTGATATGTAGTTATTATAAATAAAGTAAACTAATGCAATTACATTTTAAAACATTCTAGTATTTATTACATTTTCAACATCAGGTAAGGGTAGCTTGGCAAGCAAATATTTTGTCACTCTAGTTTTTAATGACAATAGGTATTTACAACCTTGTCCAATGTGACGTAAGTTATTTTCATTGGCTTGTGCCTCCATATTAAGCCATCATTTCTACAATTGTTCTACTACTTGAATCTCACTGTGGGGGTCCCAAACAGTTTGTTATAAGTCAGAGGAACGTGTCTACATTTATTCTCAACCATTTCAGTATTTTAAAGATAAGTGCTGGCCAAGAACAGACCTTTCAAGATTCCTACTATTGGCTTTGTTATTCAGATAACCCTCATTTGTGTCATATTCTGCTCTTTGACAGGAATTTTATGTTTAAAATGACAAAAACTAAAACAGTGGGAAAGATTACCCAATGTGAGTTTAAATGCATTATGGAACATTGCTCACAGTTCATAGAAAATCAAAGGGAATATTCTCCAGAAAGGCAAACTAGAATCACAGGCTATGGAAACCCTAAGTATCCTTGGGACATGAAGGGGAAATGAGAGGAAATCCTTGAAAAAACTGTGATAACAGTGAAATGTTGGGATTGCCTCTTAGCCAAGACCATGTACCCCAGAATGGGCCTTATAAAACTATTGCAAAGTTACTTTGGTTGCTCAGTGTTTACAGCGATACAACAGCAGCTTGATTTATTTGTCAAACACTTACTGCACAGCCTTTGAGACTTGACATTTAATTCCAGCGTTTACTGCAGCTTAATGGCTTGATCCAGTACTTATTATACAGATATTGCAGCTTGTCCTCTGTAACACTGCTATTATAGAATGAAGCTTACCTAGCATCAGTGGAGGGATGAGTAATTTGGAGGAGGGACAAGCAGTGGAGCTGACAAGACCCAGTCGCAAGTCCTGCTGGCTTATGAGAGGACTCATGCGTCCATGGACTTGTATCTACAGCACAGACCGTCCCCCAACAGGGGGTCATTGTAAATGTCCGAACTCACATTGGAACCAGATGCTTTGGAAGAAAGCTGTCAATGTATACATTAGTAAATAAATAACATGTAATCACTGTTTCTTAATTTTGAGACATGTGACATATACTGCTGCCTACAGAAGAATTAGAAACTAGCAAACAAAAAGGCTGTTGGTCAGCAAGATATAAACTCTCCCACCCCCATCAGGCTTAATTTTTATGCTCATGACCTTAGAAAATAGAAATGTTTTTTCCTCTGAGAAAACAACCCATTACTTAAAATGTTTTCATTTTATCAAGATCATTTTTTCTTCAGTCAAGATTTTTTGCCACACTGAACTTTTCGCAGGCACCACATAAATCTTTGTTGCACAAATCAATAAACCTTTGTAAATGAGTCCGGCAGCAGCATTCATGAAAGACGGAAGGTGGATAGGGATGTAGAGGTATGCCAGTGAGCATGGAGATGCAATAGTTGAGGCATAGATAAGACATGAGTGAATTAGTAGCTTGGCAGTGTAATTGGCTATACATTCTCATATGTCAGTCAGTAGATTAATGATGGTCAAGGAGACTAACGGGGTGAGCCGAGTGTTAGAGAAATACATTTGAGCATAGAGATGGTATTGGAAACCATTTGAGGTTATTAACTGACCAAAGGAGGAGGGGTAGAAAGAGAATAGAAAGGGTCCATCTTGGAGGATCGCTATGGAAAGAGACAGAGGAAAGAGAAGATAGACTTTAAGGTGAGACTGAAGAAGCATTTAGAAAGGCAAAGGCAGCAGAAAGGTCTAGTAAGCCATGGCAAGCTCTAGTAAGAATATTGAGGCATGACCATTGGTTTATAGCAGTAAGTAAGTTGTTAATAAATTTTAAAGGGCTGTTTCTGTGGAGTGCTGGGGTAAAATCCAGACTGTAAAGGGTCAAGAAGGTTGTTAACAGTAAGGGAGCAGCTCAGTTGGTTGTGAACTAGGCATTCTAGAACTTTGAAGGTAAACAGGAGCAAGGAGATAGGTCTTAGGTTGTTCAGACTAGTGTGGTCCAGTGGAGGCGTTTGCATGTGGCTAGTGCATGTTTCAACATGCCAATAGAGAGCAAAGTATTGAATGTGGTGGTGGACATGGTATTTTAATTGGGGGAGTGGACAGTGGAAATCTCATCACAGGTTGCATCTATCTTGTTTCTGAAATGATCAGCAATGTCCAGTGAATAAATTAGTGAGTGACAAAAATGGGGGACGAAGAAAGGAGTGAAACATAGAAATGAGTTGATGAGGACTGGATAAGAGGTGTTAATGAGCATGATGAAAAAGATTTGTTTGGCAACAGTTAGCTATATTTTAGGAGGGAAGATTTATGCAGGGCAAAGTCTTTCAGGGACTTAGGTATAGGACACACTTGCTTAGGCGCAATGCTGTGTCCTTTGAGAATTCTGATGTTGTTTCCGTGCCAGAGTTGCAGCAATATGGGCCTAATTCTATGTGTGGTGATGGTAACAAGTGTGTCCAGGGAGAAAAAGAGTATGACTGTTATAGACAGAAGTGGCCAAGTCAGAGCAGGACAGGGGTGAGGTTTCATGCCAGCATGTACTCTGTGGGACACATACTAACTGTTCTCCAATCTGGTGTGGATCAACATTTAGTCCTGAACACCATCAAGCATCTGCTCTGACAAGTCTTTTTCAAAGACTACTTTCCTCTCAATTCCTCATAAAGGCATTTGTGCAAGGTATGGCTCTTATAGTTCCACCTATACAAACACCTTAAACTGCAGGGGATCTCTACCTGAATCTGTTGGCTCTTCAAATATCACCTTTTGAACCTCTCAAGGATATTCCCCTGCCAAGGAAGACTTACAGAGTGGTCTTCCTCATTGCTGTCACCACTTTTTTTGTTTTACACCAAGACAAGATTGTCTTGAGGCCTTGCGCTTCTGCCTAAGGTGCTTTCTTCCTTTCACCTTAACTACGACATTGTACTTCCATTTCTCTGTCCTGTTCCAGTACATTGTTCGGATGTGGTGAAAGCTGTAGAATGTATCTTGCAGCTATATCTTTTTTCAGAATGACTGACTCTCTTTTTATCATTTCTGAAGGTCCCCATTAGGAAAGACCTGCCTCTCATTCTACCATTTCTAGGTGGCTCAGTTATTGAAGCTTATGGGCTTAAGGATAAGGTTCCATGCTTTCCTGGCAAGGCATACTCTATTAGATCAGTAAGTGCCTCTTGGACTTGTCAGCATCAGGCAACTGTTTCCAGATTAGCAAGACTGCCACTTGGTCTTCTGCACATGTTTCCTAATTTTACCAGGTGGATGCACAGGCCTTAGCTAATGCCAGTTTTGGAAGTAAGGTCCTTCATGCAGTTCTTTTGACCAAATTGATTTTTGCGTGGCCCTCTGTGCATTTGCTGTGTTGTCCATCCCTTAGTTTAACATCTTTTGGATGTTCAACAAAGTATAATCCTGACCATGTGTCCTTTAATAAACAATTAAGAAAACAGGATTTATGACTTAGCACAATATACTTTTCTTGGAATTCATTAATGGACACAGGTCCTACCCCCTGTCTTATGATTCACACATACTACTGCTTTTCCACAAAAATGGAGCATGATGGGAATAGGGGGGGGGGGGTTATACCTGACTGACCAATTGTATTTTTATTTGCTAATGTCTATGTTCAATCATAAATGTGGTTTAACTCATCCTAAATGAACAGAATAATGTATACACATTTTGTTATCCTGTAGGTTTTATTTAAAGCATACAACTAAATCTACTTTCTTGCATGTCTAAGGATATAAAAATGTAAGGTTTGAGTAATCTATACTAAATATAGTTCTATATTGTTCCATGTAATTCCATTAGTATAACATATCCTGGATATACAAAGTAAAATTATGTGTCATGCATGTGCTAATGTGTCACGCATAGTTTCTACATTTTGTTTGATGTAGGAATAACCTGAATCATGCTGGAAAAGTGTGATAAATTGTGCATATGTCATGCCATATTTGCAGTGAGTATTACATCTGGATGAATAATATACCTCATTTGTTTTATTTATTTTTTACAGATAAAGAAACTGGTGTTTCATTCCCAGTGAAATTTGTCCCTGAAAAACCTGGCCGATATCCATGCAAGATTTTGCTTCGCTCCTTTCATGATGTACGAGTTTATATGATTGAGTGTGTCGTCAATCCAAGCAGCTCAGAAACAGAATTTGAATTTATTACTCCAGCCAGTGAAGCACTGATACAAGATATTCCAATAGTAAGTTACACCACATGGCTTCATTATGTACAGTCTTACAATATATCCTTCTTGAGGAGTGGGCTAGAATCTGTTGTAGCCGATAAATTATTTGATGTCACAATGTTTGATATTTAGCCAGGGATTCTGCTGTATGTCAGACATTGGCTTCAAGACTCAGATATCTTGCAAAGGGCATCATGCAATAGATAATTTCAAATGGCAGATGAGGTTTAATGTCGATAAATGCAAAGTAATGCACTTTGGACATAAAAATAAACAAATAGGCTAAAAATATTTGGGGGTCATTGTAGACCACAAACGGAATGGTTGCTTGCAGTGCCAAGCTGCGGTAAACAAAGCTAGCAGGGCCTTGTCCTGTATTAAGAAGGGGATGTATTGCAGGGACAAGTCTATAATTGTGCCTCTATATAGATCGTTGGTTCGGCCACATCTGGAGTACGCGGTCCAGTTTTGGTCGCCGGTACTGAGAAGGGATGTCCTTGAACTGGAGAGAGTCCAGCGGAGGGCAACAAAACTAATTAGGGGAATGGAGGACCAGAGCTATGACACAAGGCTTCTGACCTTAAACATGTTTACGCTGGAATTAAGGAGATTAAGGGGGGATATGATTTTCATGTACAAGATGTTCAATGGTGACAGCAACATTGACAACAAACTGTTTGAGATTAACTCCATTACAAAGACTAGAGTCCACCACCTAAAGTTGGTGGAGAAAAAATTCCAGCACAATGGGCGAAGAGGGTTCTTTACAGTAAGAGCAGTTAAGGTCTGGAACTCACTGCCATCGGCAGTGATTTCAGCCAAGAGTGTAGATTTGTTCAAGAAACGTTTGGACAATTTCTTGAGGGACCGTAATATCCAGGGATACCAGTATCCCTAAGAATGAGATGATGCGTGGACCTATATGGGTTGGACTTGATGGACGTATGTCTTTATTCAACCCCAAATACTATGTAACTATGTAACTATGTAATTTCAGAGCAATGTTCTTTGATGCACAATTATAAGCCACACTAAAAATAAATTATAAATTGTGAGGTGTGGTTAGATAATTTCATTTATCAGATATTTATACTTCAGTATTATACAAATGCAATGAAAAAATAATATAGGGAAGGTAGACCCTAAACGTCCAATTTTAGTTTTTCAAGTGATGAAGGTTTAGGAAAACTGTGCTAGTATCATTTTTAAGGCTTACTCTAATCCTGTGTAGCTCCATTGATAGTATGGTGAAACACCTCTGCCTTGCAGCACTAGGGGTACCTGGTTTGCATCCAGGTCAGGACACTATCTGCATGTGCTTGCGTGGGTTTCCTCCAGGTACTCTAGTTTCTTCCCACGTGTCAAAGACATGCTGGTAGGTTAAATGGCTCCTGTCTAAATCAGCTTTAGTATATGTATGTATGTGAGATAGGGACCTTAGATTGTAAGCAAGGACTGATGGGAATGTGCAGTATGAAAAGCCTTGTGTAAATTGTTGTCTCTATATAAATACCTGTAATAAACAAATATAAAAAATTGAAGAGTTGCTATCAAACAGTGACTAAAAATGCTCCAAAAATGTATTAGATTGATGAAAGTATATGGTATGTTTGCACAGTGTTTTGTACACCAATACATAAACAGAAGAACTCGAGCAAAAATATGCAGCAAAAAAAGGTTACTTTCCAAAGCAGCTTTACAAGTTATCACAGTCGCTTTAAAAATTTGTAATAAGATGTCTTGTGCAGGATATGCATTTATTAATTTCTGTGCATATTTAAATCTGTACTATGGCAGCTTTAATTGTGTACCTACCTCAGTAAAGATTAGGAGTAAATATCATGCTATAAATATCACAAGTAAATGTTATGCCATTCTACTAAAGGTACATTAGTTTTTTTTTTTAATTTAGTAATTGTATTTGTAAAATATGGTATTTCTTTGACTGATTGCATTCTTAAATTGAAAAGCCCTGTGTGTCACACACACACACACACACACACACACACACACACACACACACACACACACACACACACACAATATGTGGTCCTGAAATGCATAAAGGACAATTGTCCCCAAAAATTACTAGCACCATTATAAATTCTAAATGTATACATCAAAGGTAGTCATATATGAAATATGCTTGCCAAGAAAGTATTTCCATGACCCCAACTCAGATTTTGTGTGTTCACTATTCTGCCGCTACACTATTGTTTAGCAAGCCATGTTTGGTACATGGACATAGGTTGCCATTCAGGTCTTGGGCACCTTAAATGTTGATGGCTTGCAGTCCACTAGGAAACCTTCAGAGCAGCGTCTGTAAGGTGGCTTGATACTTCAGTCTGTGTAATGGAGAATAAGCATCTCAGTAGGCTTTTGTTAGGCTTATATGATGTCTTCTTTTCCTGGCAGTCGTGCGAAATGCTGCAAGAGTTTAGAAGTGACTACAGGTGAAACTCGAATAATTAGAATATCGGGCAAAGTTCATTTATTTCACTAATGCAACTTAAAAGGTGAAACTAATTTATGAGATAGACTCATTACATGCAAAGCAAGATAATTCAAGCCGTGATTTGTCATAATTGTGATGATGATGGCGGCTTACAGCTCATGAAAACCCCAAGAACCCCAAATCCACAACCTCAAAAAAGTAGATTACTACATGCAATCAATAAAACAAGGATTGTACATAGAACAATATCGGACCTCTGAAAAGTACAAGCATGCATATGTACTCAGTACTTGGTTTGGGCCCCTTTTGCAGCACTTACTGCAATTACTTTTGCATGATATTCTAATTATTCGAGTTTCACCTGTATATGGGGTGAAGCAGTGTGTGGAGGAAGACAACTGGTGACTTTGTGAGAAAGTCGGTATTTGTATATTGCTTCTGACATGGATTTCCCCCTAATTTAACACTTTTTACATACTCTTCAATTATGATGCATCCAAAGCTGTATGTTTAGCTGGCATTTGATGTGCATGACAGGTTTACATTAAAGCATCAACTGTAGAGGTTATATTGAAAAATAAATTTCCTCATTTCCTTTAAACAGACTGAGTTTGCATTCTTTTTATAGCATAAAACAGATTACATGAATTTAAGATGGACCCATATATTTTTAATAATATAAACTAAGTTTTTATTTTAATGTATTAGATTAAAATGCTAACACTGTATTTACTGAGGAAAAAAGGAAACTAACATGAATATGTCCTTTTCAGTCAAAGCCAACTTCTCTCAGTAACAGATTTGTGCCAAAAGAATAAGCTCTGTGCTCTAACCACTAAATTGCAATTTCTTGTAACATTCATGGAAATAGGACATATCGATGCTCTCAGATCAACTTTGCTATGTTCGGTTTGCTTAATTTTTTTTATATTTGTTATTTTTACTTTTCAGTAAATTTCTCCACAGTTGACATCATCAAGTACTCTTTTTTACTCCTATGGTGTGTATTTATATTATCATTTTATGGTTCATTTCTGTTATGATGAGCTATATTGTGCCATTCTCCACTACACTGGATGGAAGACGGCCATTTCTAGCAGCCCCAAAGCATATTTAATTATCTGAAAGCAGCTTAATGGTCCAATTTACCATTTTGCTTAAAAATGCAGCTTTTAAAGAGGTATAGTATGGTATTCCGTAGTATAATTCAAAAACTCAGAACTTCTTCACTGTTATTAAAGAATATTGCTTTGACAATATATAGCATCAGCCAGTTAGCATAGCTTTCTGCTGGAACTTACAAAAGTTATATTTTAGATTTTAGTCTCTGCAAGTACACTGCAGCAAGTGTTTTCGAGTACAGTTAATGGAGATTAGTAAATGTGTTTCACATCATTAGCTAGATGTAAAGTAATTAAAGTATCTCCGGTTGGGCGATATGGTAATCATTATACATTTCTGTTTCATGTGGACATCCAGAGTACTTTTGAAAACTAAGAATATTCATTCTGCTGTTTTATAGAGCAATGCGACTCAGCAGGACTGGAAATTAAGAGCCATTCTTCAGGGTGATCGATTCTATGGGCCACAATTCTTATATGTCCCAGCAGGGGAGACAGCACAGTATTCTTTGATGTTTAAACCTATTTCTAAATGCTTTAGCACAGTAAGTACTATAATGAGAACATACTTTAAAACATACTTTTTCTTCATAGATGACACCATTATCACCTTTATCTTTGTTCTTGTGCTTCCTCCTAGCAGCAAAAATTATTATGATACTGGTCTTTTAAGACTTGTTCAACCAAGCCTGCATGCTAAAAAGTTGAGTTTTAGCTTGTGGGCTAGTGTCTTTGTGGGGTCCAGTGGAGGGGGATAGGGGGAGGGGGAGTCGCTGTGATTCACGTTTTCAGTATTTCTTTCTTAACTTTATTGAGCATGTACAAAGTGTACACTCCATTCAGGTCTCAGAACAGCAGCGTAGTTGTGCTGTCCTGTGGTGCAGTGACCTCTGGTGCCATTTATTTCACTGTGGAAAAATGCAGCATTTCTGCATTTTTCTGCACCTATGCAGCTTATTTCCAGAAATTGTTTTTAGAGTGGGAAAAAGTAACATATGCTTGTTTTTATTTCTGTCCATGATTCTATTGAGGGTATTATTTTTCACTTCCACCCTTGTAACTCCTGTCCTAAAAATAAGGTGTGGCTGTGACAATGTCGGGAAGACATAAAACAATTAAAACACTGTAAGAAGTTCTAACCCTTCCTTGCTCTACTAAAAATGTGTTTTAGTTTTGTCTTAGTGCCCACTGGATAGCTGAATTGGGCTTTAAAATGGATTTCATGTGAATGTTGGATTTTATGTGGATGTTGGATTTATCAAATTGTAAATGCTAGTAAAATACCATGCTTTAGCAGTACAAAATGTAGACAATATGAACAGCTTGAATATGCATGCAAAATTACTATATAATTTGTAAGATGTTATAACATTTATTAATGCTGTTGTGTTGCATTTGTTTCTAATCGTAAAGTTCTAAAAATCGTATTCTAAAATTGTAATGATGGGCAATTTTATATTCTATGCCCTAAAATTTGCAGAGTATATATTACAATTCTTAGATATCTTTTTCATCTAATCCACCTCCTCTAAATGAAGGTCTCTGTTAGCAAAGTTCAGTTGTACAGTAGTACAAATGAATAATGGAGAACCCATAATTTTCAGCATCAAAATCCACAAACAGTAGGCTACATTTTGATGTCTTGAGCTTCTTTAGTTATTTAGATTATAGCATACTATATTGTTTTATGCTAGCAAATGTAGTCAATCTAAATAGCTTTAAAGAGACCCTGCAATTAATGCTTACTTAAGAAATGCAGGTAAAGGCACAGAAAAATAATCAAATATTTTAAATGCTTACTTGCTTTTTATTTTCTATACATTATTTTTTATTCACTTGCAATGTGCCTTTGAACTTACTAGAAAATTTGACTACTCCAGGAAGCATCATTTCCCTAGCACAGTAACTCTCTCCTTGCACGTCATGGTGACCAAACGTCTCCGCTCCTCCTCTCATATCGCTACCTTTTATGTAGCCGCTGTGGTGAAGGAGGGGGCCAAAAGGGAATATTATAGAGTGTTACTAGTGACATCCTTGTGTCTGCTGGGGCTGCTGATATGACATCCAAGATGGTGGTGCCCAGCAGCAGTCTCAGGCCTGTTGGATGTCTGCACAAGGTAGAGTTTTACCTGTAAATAACATGCATGAGATACGTTAATTGCACATAAAATGCTACTGGAGCTAAAAGTGTATGTCAGGGCAATAAAAAATGCAATACATCTCAGCAATAGATTCACATTTCCTCATGTTTTATCCTTTTAGAGCCATTGCATTTAAATGCACATGTTACAATCTGCTAACACGCATGTGTCTAGGTTCCCTGTATTAAAAATAGTGCCTAGTCCCATCTCTGTGATGCAATGGAACATGAGTATATAGTAAGGCCCATAGAAGTTAATGGCACATTGGCAACAGGTAATAACAAGCCTTGGTCAATGGCTGTTAACTCTATCCACTCCAAATCCTGAATTCCAAAAATGCTTCAGTAACATGTCAATTTAGAAAGGAAACACATGTTTATGCATGACAACACACCTGCCTAAGGCTACAAAAAAATGCTCCTCTACACAAATGCATAGATCTAAATTGGCCCGTAAATACCCTTCAAATACAGAATAGTACCTGACGAAATGCACTCATTTACTAAGTCCTGTTGAGAACTGACACCAGACAGAATTGTTTTGGATGGAGTGCTGTGAGCTCTGACCAGTTTTATCTTGCCAAACTAATTAAAGCCACCTACTTTCCCATTTCCACAACATAAAGGCTAATCATTATATAGCTCTGGAAAAGGATTAATTACTCTCTTTCAAATAACACAAGAAGTGTGCACAAGACACAGGATAGCTCTGTATTTCTGACATGATCAACAGGTATGTTTTTGCACTTATCGAACAGAAATAACAAAACATGTTTAATGGTATATTTAATGGACTAAAAGTGATCAAATAAGATAAGTACATTTTAGGGTTAACATACCATTTAAAACTTATAATGAACATACAAGTAATGTAAATCTCAGCTTCTAAAATGTCACTTATGGTTTGTGTTCTTTACAGGTATGTAGTAAAGTTGGTTATTGAATCCAGAATTCAATCATATTATGCATTCAGATATCAAACCTGGCTGTTAACAGGTGAAACTGTCTGCTTCTTCCATGGTTGGTGTCAGCACATCTAAATGAATGTACCTGACCAAAAGCAGAGTAGTGAACCTTTTAAATATGTTGTTGTGTGTCCACAACAAATATGGCTGCCTGGAACAGTTACTACAAGGTTACTCCATGAAACTGGAATCAAATCAATGTACTTTTAGTAGCTAATCAGATGCCATTTTTATCTCTGAATTAATTTTAACCCCTTTTTTAATTCCTTCTACTTTTATGAAAAATCAAATGGTCACTTAGTCTCATTTTATGGCTGTTGGTGCAATTACAATACATTGGTTAATATAATAAATTATTCTTGCTGTTCTTTAAACTAACACAAAAAAATAAGAAAGGAAGAATGTTCAATATGCAGTTTCTTCACTGCCCAATAAATGAATTGTTTTTAGGGAGAATTTAGGAAATTGAGAGTGGAACTTTGCAGCCAAAGGCTTAATACCTTCCTGTTTTATCAGGGCAAACTAATTCTTCAAAATGAAACAGATGGTACCGAGCATATATTTGGCCTCAAAGGCATTGGCCAAGAACCCCTGGCTCTTGATCATATCGTGATAGATTGCCAAGTGAGACAAATTGCACACAAAGTCCTTATGGTGCCCAATTATACGAACGACAAATTGACATATAAGGTAAGTTTTAGAATTTGTTTTCAGAATATTGAAAAACAAGAAGTGTAAAAGTTTTTGTATTAGCTTTAAAAAGCATTTTTGTTAATTATTAGTCATCCATATTAGTTGGTCTATTGTTAAAGAGTACACTTTGTTTTGTAAAAGCTGTTCAATAAAGATTGTGTGCAGTGAAGTGTGCATGCATGTGTACAGAAAATATTTGCACATTATATTTGACAAAGGCTTTTGTGAGACCCTTCTGTTCATTAAAAAGGAGTTTCTTACAACTGCCTTAAGGTGCCCATACACTGCACGATTCTCGTACGAGAATCGCAGGAAATCCCGCGATCGTACGATAAACGTGCAGTGTATGGAAGGCGTGTGACCGTTCCTACTGTACGGTCGCACAACTTTTGTATTTCGAGAATGTTGGAAAACCAGCCAAAAATCATACGATTTTCGGCTGGTTTTTAACATGATCGAGAGACAACTGCCGAACGGGCCGGTGTGCGCACGATGATCGCAAGTACGATCTGCCTGTCCAAGATGGGCAGATCATACTTTTTTTGAATTACTTTACAACCCTCGCAAGACAAAAGTCTTGCGACGGTTGTATAGTGTATGGTCACCTTTAGTTGTATTGACTCCTTCCTGCTATTTTACTGTATACACAGGGTTACCTGAAGTGCTTTATTCAAACATCACGCTACCCTAGGTTAATGTGAAGGGTGTTGCCCTACTGTATAGGCTCCACCTTATCTGTCACTTTATACTGATTTATATGCAGGACTACAATCAAGGGAAAAAAACTGCACATATCTTAAAAGACAGGCTTTTGAGACTGCTCTCAATAAATCCAGAGGTGACAAAAAATTGGAAAAAGCAACTACAGTTTTTAGTCACAGGTCTGTAAATACCTATAATAACAAATACAGTCCTGGCTATCTTATACTCATTAGAAAAGTAATCTAATGAAAAAAGGATACTCTTTTAAAATGTGTAGCTAAAATATTATGCTCCTACTGAACTTTTAATGAAAGTTTATTCTCAGCTTTACTGCTAAAACTTTGTGAAATTCTTCCATCAACTGCTGCTGACCTTCTAGTCCTGGACAGCCTCTCCAGTTAGCTATTGAGCACAGACTTTCCCAGTATTTTTACATGGAGAATTCTCTGTGACAATGCTGTAGTATTTTATCAGAATATCATTGGGTGTTCCATGTAGTGGGCTCTGATACAGCGTTGCACCAGGTGCATGTATTTACTATGGAGCTTCCAGGGTCAAAGTTGTGTCAAAGGTTATCTGTGTTTTCGCAGTGTATAAACAGCTGGCAAAGTGGGGGGTCTCTGTGGTTTCTGTGTTACTCCAATTGCAGTACACATTTTCCTGCATTTTGCGATTCCCCATCTGTACCTTCTTTGCCCTTCTCAATGTTTCTGTTGCTAGCCACCGCCCCACAGTGATGATATTTTCCCTTAGTTATAGAGGAGTTTATGTATCAGTCAACCCAACTCACCCAGTTAGTCAGTTTTAAGTAAATAATACATAAGCATCCTGCTTCTCCACTTCCCTGGAGGTTGCCAGGGAGTATTTACAGCCTACTCCTGCATGTGATCAGGAGTTAGAGAGGTCCGGCTGTTGGACTGTGAACACATGTCAGCTTTTTGTGAGGACATCCCTGCAGGGGATCGCCTACGTCACTCCTGATGCTGCAGTGTAGAAGGAGAGAGGCTGGAGGGAGCGTTGTCACAGCCAGCTGCCTCAGAGGATCGTTTGAGTATGACTTTGTTATTTTCTTCCCTAGACCAAAACCCTACTGCAGGAGTTAATAATATTTTCCTGGAATTCTGCTTTAAGTTGGCTACAGACAACAAAGAACAGTCAAACATGGAGGCACACTACGGCTACGGAATACATTTCTTCTGAGGTCAAATAATCTCAGTGGAAGTAATAGTAATGGACCAAAAATACCCAATCACTTTTTCTCCCAACAGTAATCAGAGCAGGCTTTTTATTTAGGCAATTTCAATTTGATTGAGGGACAAATATGTGAAAGCTATCAGAACATTTAAATTAAGCATTACTGCACCCAGTTTTCTCCATCCTCTGTTTGATGATTTCATCTTTAAGGATTGGAAAAACCTTGATGCGTCTTTCCCAGTCCTCTGTCAAATGTCCAAGGACCTGTAGCACTCCTTACCGGACTTCCCATGTGGAGATGTGGGTGCTCGCAATGACTACGGATGGCGCCGCATCAGATATAATCGTTGGATATGGATGTCACCAGCACTCCAGAAACGACAAAATAACAAAAGATTTTAGTGAATATTCATTTTATTCACTCGAAAGGAATCAAGCGCTTTCGGGGCCGCACAGGGTCCCCTTCATCAGGCTTAAAGTGAGTCCTCTTTCCCAGTGGACCCTCCCATTACCTGCCTTAACAAAACTACACTATTCCTGTGGAGGAATCACCTTCCTTTAAAGGAGAACTATGGGGTCAGGGCTTTTGCCCATAGTTCTCCTAAGGGTAACGGGAGGACACAAACTAGCATCCTCCCGTCACCCAAAGCTCAGTATACCGCGAGCTACAGCTTTTCTGTCTGACAATGCTGTCTGGATCCACCCAGCTGCGTGAGTGACAGCTGGCTCTGCCTATATAAAGGCAGAGCCAGCTGTACCTGCCCCCTCCCCCTTCCGTTCCACCAGTCAGCGCTGGAGGATCGGACACGGGAGGGGGGGAATCCCTGCAGGGACCCGTGAGTGACAGTCAAGGCTCTCTGCATGGATAGATCAAGAAGTGGGCGAGCGACGCTATGTGTTCACTCACTTCCCGATCTACTGAGCCGACCTGTGATGAGGGGGTTGCAGTAAGGTGGTGAGCACAGTAACCACTTGCTGTCAGATACTTTCTGGCAATCCCATATGAGGTGCATGAAATCTCCTAAGGGTTCATTTCATCATATATAGTTGGGAATTATTATACAGGGGGTGCCCATACATTCCATTTTGTGCAGTTAAACAGGACATGGGTATGTTTTGTGTATAATATACAATTAAATGAATGATTAAAGTGACATTAAAGTCACGTCCCCCATGCTGCTTTAAGGACTTACCTTAAATGATGCTTCTTGATCCGATCATCTTCTTCTTTCCAGTAGTTTAAAGTAGTCCCTCCAGCGCTGGTGCGCTCCCTGATCCAGCACTGACTGCTGTGTCTTCTGTGTCCCACGGCGTCTGTGTGCATGCATGCTGCCGGGCTGCGTGCATTGACTTACCCTGTGTTTCTCCTCTTCTCGTGGCCAAAGATCTGTATTGGGCATGTGGCCGCCCCATGATCCTTCATGGCCGCTCGAGAATCTTCAGATCGTCGGACGCGAGCGAGCGGCGGAGACAGAGGTAAGTAATAACCTGTTTGGTAACTTTTTGTATTTTTTATGTTGTTGTTTTATGTGCAAAAAAAATAAGAAGGTTTAATTCTACTTTAACTACTGTTGAGTCCAACATATGACAAGGGCATATACCATCCCATTCCTCTGTAGACATAGTAGGTAGTAGGGTCTTCCATTTAGTCTTAATAACCAGTGGAGTTTTACCAAGCTTAGTGTGTAGCAAGCAGGAATAGTGACTGGATGTTAACCAACCTGTTTGGTCCAAAGAACATGTGCCCAGTGTACTTCTGAGCTATGGGGAACTATAAGTAGAACCTATGTAATGTTAGACTGCTAACACTTGTCTTAGTTAGTTATATTGCTTACATGTTTGTGCTGTACTGGTTAAGATTTTCATATTGATGTTTGGTATATGGATCAGTGCACATTTATATACATATTTATGTCCAGTTACTTTTGTGGCTATTATGAATATGGTATTATGCATGTTTTTTGTGTTATATTTATAGAACCTGTGTTCTCTCCAGATGGGGTTTATAAGTGCATTTATTTTATATTACAATTTATAGCTGTAAAGTCTTTATTAATGTTCTTGTCCGTTTATACACCATTTATATATTAAAATAAGAAAATGCTTTAACAGTATGACATTTTAATCTAATTTAGGTTGTGTCAGATATTCCAGTCATTGGGGGGCCTCGGACATTAACTGTAAAGCCAGGAACATCAGCTCCTTATACACTCAACATATCTCCATGGAAACGTGGTTTGTTCAAAGGTAATAAAATTGTATACAAGTGTGACATCAGTTATATTGACAAGTTTTAAAGTTTATTTATAGGCCAAGAATACCTGGAATAACTTGAACATCAAGATTTGACTCTATTAAGTGCTATTCTAAGGCTTCATTCACACTTGCCATTTGCGTTTATGTCCTCTATATTCAGATAAAAATCTGCCAGTCTAGATGCTGTGTTTATGCTTCCAGATGCTTTAAATGAGGTGTGTTTACACGTGTTCACATGTATATGCATTTAGATGTGCATGGTACTAAGTTCTAGCATCAAAATGCATTAACATGCCTTTACATGCTTTTTAGCTCGTTTAGAAGTTCATACCAGTGCCAGGATGCACCTTACTTCTGTTTTTTGAAAATGCAGATAAACTGAACGCAGATGAAAGAATCTAGATGCAAGGTGTGAATATACCCATTAGAAATTAATAGATGCAGATAAATGTTTTTTTTTTAAAGCTTTTTAAATGCATATAAGAGCATCTAATTGCACATAGTGTTAATGAAGCCTACAATGTACTTATGAAAACTTAGGGGTAAATCAAATATCGAAAACATACAGAAATGCTCATTTAAAAGTTAGGTACCTTTTTACTGTAAGTATCCACCCTCCTTACCAAAAGTAATATGGTAATAAGATTATTACCAGTAGCAATATTTAAATTGAATGGTTAATTTAGGCGTAAAAAAAGCAGAAAATATTTAAATGTACAAAATGCAATGCTTTAACATCCTGCTAACAGTTCCAGAGATGTTTCTAGTGTTCATAGCTGGCTGTATGATTTTTACGCTACAAAAAATTGAGGACAGTGTATTGATTATAATGATATCAAAAAGAAAACAGTCACTCAGAATTTTCCTTTTTCTCACTTCTAAATGGTTGCTGTGTATAACATCATTTCATCATTTCCTTATTATTTGTCGCATTAGATGTGCAGAAATTCATATTATATATGGTTAGTCTCTCTAGCTCATAAAAGTTCAAAATGTACTAAGTGTAATAGAAGATGATTGTCATTAAGGTTAAATAAAAAATAGTGCCAAAAGGTATATTTTCAATGTCCAATACATTTCTGCTTGCATCAGTGTTACTGTTTAAATCGGGAGTCAATATCCCAGAATAACTAGGTAATGAATTGAGAAATGGCTGGTACTTACAAAAACCTTCCCTGTCTTGTTAGTCTACTTTTTATTGCAAAGACTCCAGCCTACTGTATTAGAGATACAGAGGGTAACATGTGATCATTTTGGCAAAATTTAGACATTAGGCATTAGAGTCAGCAGGGAAGGCAAATTAAGGGGGTCTAATGTTGCAAATACTAATTCCAGCCCCTAACGGTCATCTGAACCATAACTATAAGCCACTCAAATGTCTAATTTCAGAGTCTTTGAAGTTTTAGCACTAGCAGGTAACACCACATAAACACGTGGGTTTGAAAACCTACACAGGTCCATGTCTTTGGCTAAGCCAGATGCACTTTAATGCAGCTACCCACATAACTATAATTAAGCAGAGATGAACAAAAACAATTTGGTTTTCATGCTTACTCCCTAACAGGTAGAGATAAGAAGAATGAAATGGTGGAGGTGCATATTGGTTAATCTTTAATATGCTTTTAAAAGTCTATCTTACTAAAATAAAGTGCAAAAAAACCTTTGTCTATCAATGGCTTTGAATATAGATGCACCACAATACTGTACTTATTGTAATCTCAAAAGCTATAAAGCTAACACACATGAAGATCTTGTTTGATTCTTTGTTGCCTACTTAAAGCAATGACAAGTAAGACAATGATTTAGAAATCCTAACTTATATCATCTTATTATCAAGCAAGTTCAGGCTTATTTTACTAAAATTCCACTTTATCTCAAAAAGAAGATAAGCTAGTATACATGTTAAATGCGGGAACAACAGAAAAAACATAAACAGCGCTCTCGGATGGAAAAAAGTTAACCTACAGACATGTATGCAGCCCTGGGAAACAGGAGGAGAACCTGTGAGTGCAGATAATCAAAAGAGGGCGCAAAAACACTGGCTGGCTAAGGAAGATATAACGGAAACTCAAGGTGGTGGCACTTATGCGTGAATCCCGGGATCCGGAGATGGGCGGCCAATCTGGAGGATCGGGACACTAGTGATGTGTGTCCGACTCTAGCTGGTGTGCTGCTCAGGGAGGTACATCCATAGGAGGGTGTGAGCAAGAAGAGGGGACTTCGTCCGTGGTGTCGTTAGAGAAATGCAGGCTATGTGCGGTGTAGAGGAGAACTAGAAATCCCCCTGTGGTGTTGGCAATAGACAGGGCTGTAGCAGCCGCGGCTGTGGGTGTCAGCGAACGGTCACTGTCAGGACTGCTTGGGACAGTGTGCGGGAGTCTGTGTGCGGGAGCAGCTGACAGATGCCGAATGGTCGGCTCAATGGTAAGATTGAGAGGGATCAGGGAGGAAAAGAGTGACGCGTTTCGAGGTACTACCTCTTTCTCAAGCTCGGGTAGAATGGTAGGATGGTGGCGGGAATCCGCCGGTTTTAAAAGTGACAGGTGGGCGGGGCTAGTGGTGATGAGAGGTAAACCCACGGTTCAAAATTGAGAACGAAGCTGCTGGAACCGGGCATGTATTTAGAAGCTTGATGTGCATAGAGGCCATAGAGGACTGATATGTAGGGAAAGGGGACAATGGGAAGGAGTTACTATCGTCGTTATTATTGCTGTTGTTAAAGAAAGAGGGGGGAGCCATTGACAAAAAAAGTCGTATTAGGGTAAAAAGCTACTATGTTGCTAAGTTGCAAATGGTACCATGGTTAAAACAGGACCTTAGTAGAAAGGCTACTAAGTTAAAAATGTCTATATTAAAATTGTCTTTATTAGAAGCACTAAAAATTATGTTATAAAAGAAAATTGGAAAAAATATAAAATGTAAAATGAAAATAAAATTAATAAAAAGAATAAAAATGTAAATATATATACATGTTAAAGAACCGTTCCTTTAGTTCATCATGTGGGAGCCCTTTTTAATAGAAATCCACATGCTCAATGGTTCCCCCCTCTTTCTTTAATAACAGCAATAATAACGACAAAAGTAACTCCTTCCCATTGTCCCCTTTCCCTACATATCAGTCCTCTATGGCCTCTATGCACATCAAGCTTCTAAATACATGCCCGGTTCCAGCAGCTTCGTTCTCAATTTTGAACCTCGGGTTTACCGCTCACCACCACTAGCCCCGCCCACCTGTCACTTTTAAAACCGGCGGATTCCCGCCACCGTCCTACCGTTCTACCCGAGCTTGATAAAGAGGTAGTACCTCGAAACGCGTCGCTCTTTTCCTCCCTGATCCCTCTCAATCTTACCATTGAGCTGACCATTCGGCATCTGTCAGCTGCTTCCGCACACAGACACAGACTGATCCCTCTCAATCTTACCATTGAGCCGACCATTCGGCATCTGTCAGCTGCTCCCGCACACAGACTCCCGCACACTGTCCCAAGCAGTCCTGACAGTGACCGTTCGCTGACACCCACAGCCGCGGCTGCTACAGCCCTGTCTATTGCCAACACCACAGGGAGATCTCTGGTTCTCCTCTACACCGCACATAGCCTGCATTTCTCTAATGGCACCACGGACGAAGTCCCCTCTTCTTGCTCACACCCTCCTATGGATGTACCTCCCTGAGCAGCACACCAGCTAGAGTCGGACACACATCACGAGTGTCCCGATCCTCCAGATTGGCCGCCCATCTCCGGATTGCGGGATTCACATGTAAGTGCCACCACCTTGAGTTTCCGTTATATCTTCCTTAGCCAGCCAGTGTTTTTGCGCCCTCTTTTGTTCTTTTGATTATATGTTAAATGCGAGTGAGTGTTACATGAATATTTGCATATACTGTATTATTTTTTCCCATCTAATGATTTTCCTTAAATAGAGGTTTAGCTATTTTGACAGTTATTATGACAAATAAAAAAATACTCAAACAAAACAAGAGGCATGTAATATTTAAGACAGGAATTGGGAACATCTTGGTTGAAATAATTTCCCTCTTCACTGTTATATTGGATAAGTGCTCATAACATAAGTGTCATTTTTTTCTAAAGTTTGGGCAGTCACTATAAATACAAGTATAACTATTAATCCAATATCTGGTGTCTCTTGTTTTTGTTAGGTGTAATCTCATTTGTTGCAGAAGACAGAGAACAGCAGCAATTTCAACATGGCAACCCACCAGCTACTGCAGATATCGATGAAGCTTTTCAAATAGTGGAATTTAAAACTGCTGATGTAAAGAAAGCAGGTATGTTTTATTTCATCAAAACAGGGATTTCTGAAAGCACTTTCTAGCTGCTAAAAATTAGGTATTGATTTCAGTATAAGAAGTATTTTTAAAAATGACATAAGATATAAAAGATATAACGGTAACCCCAAAAAACTTAACGGTGTCATTTAAAGGAGCTTTCCCTTTAGATACAAAGTGTTACTAAACATCTGGATAACCAATCTGATCTTTCCCACTTGTATAAGAGATCTATCTATCTATCTATCTATCTATCTATCTATCTATCTATCTATCTATCTATCTATCTATCTATTTATATAAAAGATAGATAGATTTTTTTATATCTTTGGCATCTAGGTGTGCACTGTGGTACCTTCACCCAGATCCTATTTCACTACTGTGTCCTATATTGATGTAGGGGTTGGTAGTCCTGACAAGAAGCAAAATCTTGAGCTACAACCACCCCTGATGACCTCAGCATCCCACATTTCCAGATATGTGAGATGCCTGCCTTTCCTGCTTTGTGTTACATTCCACCTCCCAACTGCTACATCGCTAGTATTTCCCTTTAGAGCTGCTGGCGATAATATGAAATCACCTGTACTCCATACAGCGTACAGACCTTGTTGAAAACTTGGTGCTTGAAGTGACAACACGGATGGCGCCATATCAGATAAAGTCCATAATAGAAGTCACCAGCACTTGATGATTTGTGCAAGAAGTAAAGCACTTTTTATTAAATTGTCACATGCGACATAGTGACCATGAATCACTATGTCACCCAGAAGAAGGGGCCCTGTGTGGCCCCGGAACATTGGCTGTATGATGCATGTGACAATTTAATAAAAAGTGCTTTACTTCTTGCTGTCACAATCCAGCAGGGCAGTACTCTCTTGGATCTCAACTGAGGAACTAACACTCTAGGTGTAAGGGTTTGGTCAGTCTTTGCGGAACCCCAATACACTCAGTGTGATGGGGGGCCATTCCACATCATGTACCCGTCCTAGAATGTTATAGGGATATGACCAATGAGGGTCAAAGGTATACAGTTTAGGTATTTTGGTTATAACTATCAACCTCAAGTGGAGGCGTGTGGTGAATTGTAGTGTTGTCACTGCAGGAATAAATAGGGAATCGTTTCCTATCACCCCTCTCCAATCCACAGTGATCATGGTGTGGCAGATTTACTGAATGGCGTTCACTAATAAGCTTGGGGAGATGTGTAGTGCGGTGGTTATGCAAGTTTATCTTCGGCAGAGCAGGTTATGCAATCCGTAATAATCAACAATATGATATGTTCAGTTGGTATTAATGCACACAGATCCTTGCTAGTATATACATCTCAATATCGCTTTGAAGTGGCTACAAATAGGTGGGAGAAAACCAGCAATATGGTATGTTCAGTTGGCATCAATGCATACAGTTCATTGCTAGCATATACGTCTAATATGGGTTGAAGTGGCTACCAATAGGTGGGAGATAACCAGCAATATGATATTCCAGTTGGTATCAATGCACACAGTTCATTGCTATCATACACGTCTAATATGGCTTGAAGTGGCTACCAACAGGTAGGGGAAGACCCCCTTGTACTTGCTGTTCAAGAGTGGAGGGAGTTCAGGAGGAGTAGGAGGTAATCCTGTGTAGCAATGTGAGCCGTAGCAGCTAGCAGTAGCTGAGTCCCAACAGGGAGGCTCAACTCCTCACTTAAGCCTGTGGATGGTCTGTGGCTCTGTTCCCCACAGAGTCAGTCGCTCGACGTTCCACAACGATTGAACGCCTAGTGACTGACTCAGCTGTGTTTAAGAGGAGGAGGCGCCGCGCCCAGGGGGAGGAGCCGGCCGTGACGGCACACCTGTCCGAGTCAATCTATGACACTTGCACATTATCATCAAGTGCTAGTGACTTCTATTTTAGGGCTGCTGGGACACACTAACTACATAGTGGCTGATGGGTGGAACCATAGCATACAGTGCAGGATGCAGATATCCAACACACCAAGAAGTGTTGGATGCTTAAGATACCAGGAGCAGCCATAGCTCTATAAGACAGCACAGCTTTGGATTACCGGCGAATGGACTGGTAAATATTATTAATACATTTTTTCAGGCTATGTATTTATTTGTTTATTTATCAGCAACAGAGATGCTATAAAGGTGGTATGATTGGCATTATCTCACATCAGAGCTACCGTCTGAAAATGAAGATAAGTTGAAAATGTTAGAACGCCATACTAAATATTTATTATTTTGAATATGTCAACGGAGATACAAAGGTATATAGCTCTTTGTTTATTCCAACAAGTACTTTTTTTAAGCAAACTATTAGAAAAAAATATAATCAAATAATTACATATACAAAATATATATATATTTTTTAAAACCTCTACTTGCTTGTTCTTAACTCTCTTCCTGCCCAAAATTCGGGATCCAAGATGGGGCAGTGGATCCCGGGATTCAAGGTGAGGGGTCAGAGGGGGGAAAAAAAACCGGGGGGGGTGCCGCGAACGAGCACATATAGGCGATCAGCGGGCTATGGACCCGCTGATCGCCTATATGTGAAACACCGTCGCATTGGACGGGTCTTTTCTGCCCGTGCGTGCCCGCTAGGGGGCGCGCGCGAGCAGAAAAAAAATGCCGTCTGGCGACGGCAACCCGCCAATGCAGCAGTGCCGTCCGTCCGTTTTTCTACTACGGGCGGACGGCAAGAGGTTAATGCTTCTTACTTTTAATCTAACATTTTACTGAATACATTTTTTTTAAATTGTTTTAAAATGTAATAATTTATTTCTGGTAATATATAACATTTTACTATTTAGTTCACAAAATCCTAGCCTTTTCAATTTCCATTTGCAACAGTGTATTTTGTAATCTCTTTTACCATTCATTATCCTTGTCAACACTTTCAACATCATTCATTGGACAAGGACACAATTCACAGTTGTTTGTTAAAATGTATTCTGGATGCGACATTCTTGCTATTTGCTATTAGCTTTCTAACACAAAGAGCTGCAGTGTGTGAAATTGCTTCCTTGCAGCAGTGCATTCTTTAGGTCACGGATATGGAATAGTTTGTATGAAGATAAAAAAAATCCATATGATTTGCCATTTAACATCTCTCTTTTCAAAATGTGACACTTTTTTCTAAAAGACAATTCGCTTGTCTGAACATGTCAGCCCGTTGCTTTTAGCAAGCTCTCCAATACAAAATGTGTTTGGATATGAGTCTGTATGCATACTGTTGCTTTTTTTTTTTAAATTGGATATCGGAATAATGCATGTTGCCAAAAGCAGCCAATCACATCACATGTGTCATTTTTAGGGCAGGTTGGAAAATCAAAAAAGTAAAGTACTACTCAAACTGATATTTCCGTGTTGGATTAATAAAGGCATGTTCAGCCGACAAATTTTTATAACTTATCATTTATTTTTCAGCATCTCAGTTCCCCACAAAACAGCAGCAAGCACTGCATATTGTTTTGCCCTTTCTGTTAAACTTTACTTTAGATCACAGTAAAGGTGATGTATAAGTAAGGCCTGCTTTTGTTGTATTGGTGGTTGGGATTATTTTATCGATGGAGTCCCCATGCTATTTATGAAACTGGCACAAAAAGTGTTTATGCTTTTAAGAAATATTCTAGAGGTAGGCAGTCTGCTAGTTTTCCTTTAAAGCCCAAATGTCTATTTAACACCTTGCAATGATGGTGCTTCTCTATTTTGGTTCTCAGAAATGTTTGAAATGATAAATATTTGCATTAAATTGTCTAACGTTTAATAACTGCGTGTATCAGACCTAACTCCCTTTCAAAATACTATGAAACTTGAAAGTACTAGGGGCAATACTATCTAAATTAAATGTCTACTCCAAGCTGCTAGACAGATTAGATTTTTCTCTTAATTGCTTCACAATTTTTTCATTCCTTTAATTATGTGTTAACCTGCAGCACAGATGCTCTTTAGTAATTTCCCTGCAGTTAGCTTAGTGACTCAATTTTTGCCATTAATGTTAAGTGTGTTCAGTATGTCAAAATGCCTTATGCCTTTCCATAAGGATTTATTTGTGTAATGTGATCCAAGCGATTGTTCCCTGGTGGATGATTGCTGGAACTGAGGGGTTGAAGGTGATATATTTTGACTGGCTGGACTTTTTAGAGTCGGAATTCCAAAAAATGAATCTGCTTCAAGCAGAGGAAACTGCTTACCAAAAAAATGTAAGTTGGAATTATTCTGATGATATAAAATATACCTGATTTTGATGGAGAACTGTTACTTTGATCTTTTACATTTACTCTGTGCAGACTACCTCCCTCCTTGCCCTGATCTGGTACTTCCAGAATTCAGACACTCCCTTGCTGTTTGAGGATGATTTGCATAAGTGTCCTCTGTGTTGCTGTGTCTGCAAGAAAACACTGTTGACCTGTTGCAAAGAAGCAGTGTGCAGGTGTGACAGTGACAAAGTTAAAGCTGAACTCCATCCTTACCTTAAATCTTGCACAGTTGTACAGTCTCCTCCCCTTTACTGAATTTGCTTACCCTGATTTGCCTTGGCACTGTAAGCTTGATGAGAGTGTAAAGGAGGAACCAGGGTAGTCAAAATATAAGCAGATTGAACTTCAGCTTCAGATTTCTATTTTGAACTGTAATATGCATTTTTTAATATATCCTAAATTGGCAACACATTGTGGTACATTATTTTTGGGAGCCTATCACCTGACATTTGGATGGGGGATTTGACACCCAGAGCATCATAAATTAATATAAGTTTTCTACTTTCCGCCCATGTCCCCATCAGCTATTTCCTGCCCCTGGTACCCCTAATCCTCCTACAAATATATACGGTAACATTGCTCATGTCCTCTGGTTCAGAGGATTTTTTAATATACACACACTTCATCAGTCTTCCAGGAATGCCTTAAAGGATAATTAGAGCCTCACCTTTTTTTGCATATATCTACTGCTAGCAAGCAGTAGATATATGCAAAAAGTGTAAAAAAAAACAAATAAACCGCTTTTAAAAGG